TTATTTTACCGCCGGGTTGGCGTAGTTTGTGAGCGTCAAGAGCACGCATTTGTAATTTCTAAAGTTGAATAAAAAGGGATTTTAACCCTTCTCAAGACTTTGGTCTACTTTCCAGTTCTTAGCAGTCACCACTATTGTTGCGTGCAGGTTGCAACGTTACAAACTGTTATTTGTTTGGTTCTGTATCAAAGATGTATAGTTCTGCATTTGATCCCTATATTTTTCAGGAATAACAATTAATTTCCGTTATTTCCATTTTTATCTAATTTCTTTTTCCTCAACAGCCCGTTTTCCTTTACTTTGAAATCATTTCCGAAATTTTCACTTTTAGCTTCGCTAAGCAATGAGGCTACATCTCTGCTTTGATTCTGAGATTCAATTAATTCCTTTGAATTAACATTAATTATTTTCTTAATTTCTTTGTCTTTCTCATCAGCTTGTGGTAAAATATCTTCATCAGTCTCAATAACAGACAGTTCTTCTTTTTTCCCCAGTTCGGTGTCTCTATTTCGATCTTCTTCAAGAGATCGTTTTACTTGAGATCGTGTCAAAACCGCATTTATCCTTTCTAACTTTAAGAATTGTTCATCTTTGAACAACTGAACAGTTTTTTTACGCAATACATATCTGCCAGGATCATTCGTAACAACAGCTGCCTTTGTCTTTATATGGCCAAGTTCACAATTAATTTCAACTTCAGCTAACAGTAGACATACTAAATAGTCGTTTAAAAGATATTGTACCCAGACATGTTCTCCAGTCATTTTTGCGTTACATCTATGTATTTTCGAGAAATAACATCTACTGTGGCTCCTGTGGCTCGAAGAATAGGTATTTCATAACCATTAACTAAACCGTTAGTTGTATATGTCTTTAACAAATCATCATTCGAAAATACGCAATTTACTTTTTCATTTGGTTTTAAGCGAGTGCACTGAGGCTTAAAATGTTGGTGTGATCCACACTCGAAACAACGTGGTCGATATCTTTTGTCATACAAATTTTCTTGGTTCTTGTTTTGAAATTGACTTCTTCGTCGGTGATCTTTCTGGTATTTTGAATCATCCCATTTATCAGAATGCTTAAAATGAGGCGGATACTCTCTTTTTTTTCACTAAATTATCATAACGAGGTTTAAATGATACTTTGTTAATTTTCTCAGTCTGACTGGCAGAAAATTTCGGTTTTATTGTTTTTCTCACATCTTCAAAATCTTCAATTTTCTTAACCATCTCAGTGGGTAAATTAGGGTAGTCCATTCATCCATAAAATGTTCTTTGAAATCAGGAGAAGTACGCTTTTTAATTTGATCAACCACCATGAAATCTTTTAGCTGTTCAAAAGTTTTAATGTTTAATCCGTTAAGCCGTCCTTCTAAATAATTCTTTAATTCATAGTAGAAATCATACCAAGTACTTTCAGTAGATTTTTGGTGTTTATTAAATAGTTGCCGAAATTTTTCCGCACTCAATTTAAATCGTTGAAACAGTAAAGTTTTTACATATTCATATTTTTTCGTGTCCTCTTCTGGTTCTCTAGCAATAAGCTGAACAATGTCAGGAGGCAGCAATGAAATAAGTTGAGTCACTTGATTTTCAGCTGGTATATATTCATTATTTTAGCTTGACGCTCAAATAACATCAGAAATAAACTTATTTCATCTTCTTTAGGGTTGAAACGTGGCTCATGACGTCGTGAATTCTGATTTTTAAAGGCTGCTCAGGTAACTGCGTAGTTCCTACCGGCTGTGCTGTGGCAGCTATTGCTTCCAACTGAAGTTTCTGTAGCTCAAAGGCTCTAATTCGCTCTTCTCTTTCACGCTCTTCTTTTCTTTCTCTTTCTTCTCTTTCGCGTTCTTTTTCTCTTTCTTCTCTTTCACGTTCCTTTTCTTTTTCTTCTCTTTCGCGTTCTTTTTCTCTTTCTTCTCTTTCACTTTCTTTTTCTCTTTCTTCTCTTTCGCGTTTTTTTTTCTCTTTCTTCTCTTTCGCGTTTCTTTTCTCTTTGTTCTCTAATTGCAGCCAGTAGTTCTCGAGTAAACTCCTCATCATAACCGGGACTTTCAGTAACCAGTTTATGTAACTCAGCAATCTTAAATTCAGGTTTCACGGTTAAACCTAACTCTTCTGCTAGTACTTTTAAATCCTGTTTTTTACTCCTAGCTAAGAATGACATGTTGACACAAGTTACCTTTATTAGGCTTCCTTTTGAAATTGAATCTGAAAGATCGTACTTGTTTTAAAAATGTATAATTTCTGGCGAAACTTAATTTCTCAAATACGAAATTCATACTAACCAATTGAAAAGAATTATTTAAACAACTTTGCTAGGTTGGCACAAAATAATATAATACTACGCCGGGTTGACGTTTTAACTCACTATTCACAAGCCTCGTTAGCTATAACTATATAAACACCTTTGCCAGTTAGGCAATGCAGTGGAATTTTACCCACGTCAGTTTGACGATTTTACTATCTATCTCCACGCCTGGTTGGCGATAACAAAAAAATTTTTGCCATTTTGGCAGTACACTTTTTACAACGTCGGGATGACGTTGCTATCTACCACACGCCTGGATGGCGAGAACAAAGAAAAAACTTTTGCCAATTTTGCAGTATAATCAAATTACACTACGTCAATTTGACGTTACTACTTGTTTTCTACGCGCCTGCTTGGCAACAAATTCAAAAACTCAGCTAGCAGTTCTTTTTTTTTATATATATAAATGCCGGGATAGCGTACATATATCAATTATCAACAAAAAAAAAATCAATACAAATAACAGTAAAGGCTAAATAATAATTTAAAATACTTTTCTACCACAAATATCAATTATAAATTATCTTAATATTTTTTAGTATTAGTTATTTACACAAAAACGAAACCTTTACTATTTAAATATAATTCTGAAATGAAATACTAAAATTCAATAAACTTTCAATTCAAACTTTTTTAATGAAAACCAAAAGTTAATCTTATCTTCGAAGATCAGCAGTATCCTGTTTTGATGAATTCTTTGCTCGGAGCGCAAGTTATAGAAGCACAGAAGATAACCTTTGAATGATCCACTTCAAAATCTGGCTTTAAAATAGCAGACTTCTGACATCTATTTCTCCTAGAAATAAACAAACTCGGCAATTGATACTTAGCAAACTTATTCTAAAAAATTTCAGCAACATTCTTGGGATTAGGAGAACCAGCATCCATCAAAATTGAATAATTGCACTCCTGATTTCCAGTATCTTCGGTGGAACCTCCAATTTTATTACGACTGTAATGTATTTAGCAGTAATTGACAAAACAGGCAATCTTCTTATTATAACATAAATTTTATTTCTAATTCACGGAGATAGATAATTTCAAGAAATTCTTTAGCGGCAAAACTTTTATACTACTACTAGCTGGTAAAAAAAAAAAACTTCAGAATATTCTAATTTTTGAATCTGAGCAACGTTTACATAATACAGATATGGCGTTGCCACTTTAACAATAAATATAATTATTTATTAGATAACAAGATATTACAGGGGTTTAGGTACTTTGTTAAAATTATTTGAAAGTAGGAATGATGTGACTTTTTTCCGCTCATGCACAATGTAAAAAGGTAGGAACGATGTGACTTTTTTTTTCTTTCAACACAATGGAAGGGAAAGAAAATTGGTTGCCATATATTAAGAAGTTCGCAAACTGAAAAAAAAAAAAAAAAAGCGCCAAGATAAATTTTTAACTTTCTCCGTAAATATCGCACCAAATTTTACAAAATTTAATAGTTAGGCAAAATTTGAGTCGTAGAATATGAAAAAAGAACAATGCTATATATTAATGTAATATATATCCGAAGTCACGGTTTCGAGACATGAAAAACGGCATCAATCGACCTAGTATAAAGGGATATATAGAATTGTCCCCCCCTTTTTTTTCGCGGTGTACGTGCGAGTTCGTGGATTTGGAGTGAATAAGGACAACAGTTGAAGGAAGTGTTGAAACACTATTTATTAGCCAGTATTTTCAGGACAGCTCCAAAATCCCGTTTACAGACGTCGAAGAGTACCGTAAACACGCTGAAACAATCAGCGACACAGCCTTCAGACTATCGGGCTATAACGGTAAAGGCACCTTCACGGCAAAGTACCAGAGTACAGCTTTCGGCTCTGCTCTGTCGTTCTCGGAATTCTACATACTCTCGAGACTCTCCACGCTACAGCTCGCGATGCACTCGACGATACACTAGAGTACAACTCCCGACTCGGTTCGGTCGTTCTCGGACCTCAACACGCTCTAAGATGAAACTCGACAATGCACTAACTGGCGATACACTAAGAGACTCTCTCAATGCACTTGACGACCAACTCGGTACTAGACTACCAGACACTCGCTCACTGACTATTGACTGCTCGACTAGGCACTGACTTTCCGCGTGGCAGCAGGATTTATATAGCTTTTGGCCTGCGTTCGAGAACAGTCTGGGTCAAACTGGTAAGAATTCATTTCAGAAGTTTCTCCATCCGTCTATGGCATATCGCCAATTTTCCCGCCAAATGGGCGATTTCTACCCAAATATGGCAGCCCTGCCTTCCCTTGCCATTTTCTGGCAACCGTAAACCTGCTTTACTGGGAAGCTATCTTACTGCGGCCGGGCATTTCATAATAATATATACGTACGTACATAGAGACGTCATGAAAAACTCCATTTTTAATTCATTTAACAATTCGTTTTGGAAAAGAAAAGAATATTTTATTCTGTCGTTACATACAGAATGAACGCAAAAAATAGTCAAAATGGATTTGGGAACGGTCAATTTGATATTTGCGTTGAAATTATGATACTCGAAATTTTTTGGGATTACAATACTTTCTTTACTCCGTACATGTAAATAAAAATAAGTTAATTCGAATCATTTTAGTTCGAATAATTGTATTTAATGCTTTGCATTTACGCAGTCTAAGAACAAAACAGCCGTTAAATTTCCCCCCTCTTTTTTTTTTTTTTTTTTTTTTTGTAGATATTTTTGAGCGCATCCATGGCAGTTGCGTGTTGTTTGAAAAGTACGGAATGCATGCTTTCTGGTTCGGTGTCACGCCTATCGTCAGCGTCTTCCGAGCAGAAATCATGGAAGTAAGTAATTCAGTCACTGTTATTCTATATTAATAATGCATATACATAATACATTTCTAATGCATATATACACGTTGAGGGATCTGGAGATTTTAAGAATTTAACACTAAATCCTTGCATTTATTTAACTTTAATGTATATGATTACATTTTAAGCATAAAGCAACGGTATAATTTACAAGTTCCTAAGAGTTTGATGTTTCCCCAAGGGAAATTTGGAAGGCTGAAAAAACAGAAATTGTTGCTACGTCATTGACGCGAAAGGCTTGTGCACAGGTGACCGAGTAGAAAAGAAACGTATAGCTGTTTCTTGAAATCTTTTCTTTCTTAAATATTAAGTGCCATGGTTTCCAGATAGCGTCTGTTTATGATGGAATAATACTGTAATGTATTTTTTAATAACCGGTTGGCACTGCTGTTTTGAATAGCTTGTTTCAAATAAATAATCTATGTCTTGACTTAAGCTGAATCTTAAACTTGTTAGCCTGTCGTAACTGTTTACCTAAAAACTCCTTCAAATTTTAACTTAAAATCAGTTTCAGTTTTCACCCTTATACTAATTAACCAATTGTTGAGCGGAAAGAGGCAATTTTTTTTTCGATGATTTTTTTAACAAATGAACAAGAGTTTACTAATGTTAGAAAACAATTTATTAATGCAATACTCGTAAACGTGTAGAGACATTAGGTATATTTTGAGGCCGGAGAGATGAAAAATTAGCAATCGCCTTCGCCGGTAATCGAACCACAGACCTCTGGAATATCGACGCAGCGTGCAAACCAGTACTCCACGAAGGCTCGCTGAGAAGGCGGGAGAAACACCTTATAAACGAAACATGTTGAGAACGAAAAGCAAGAATAATTTCTTGCGTTCGCATTGACTCGATGCATGATGTTGTAAACTCCAGAAAGTCACGAGTCATTCCGCAAACATGAACCACTCTATTGAGGCACATAGCACAACATCCAAAACGTTCTTTACGTTTCTTTTTTCCTACGCTCACTGAAGACTGACCTTTTGATTCTTATACATTCTACAAGCTGAAGTCCCAATAACCCAGCTTCAATTCATTTCACTTCATAACACCCTCCCCCCTATTCAAAATTGGGTATAGTTTCAAACTTATAAGAAATACAATGAAAAAAATCCAGTCTTTTAGGTGCTTTTACGCACGTACCAGAAGAGGTATACCTTTCCATTATTATATCAAAAGATAAACTAGTTGTAATTCCAGATGATTTCTGAGAATTAGATTCCTCCTCTCCAGTTTTCTTTTCCAACAGTTTGTAGCTCTAATGGAAATCCTCTGCAGCGGTCGCAAAACACCTCCGTGTTGTGTTTTGAGCCTTCTTCGCTCGCCATATCCGTTTCACACAGTAAATATAGATATTATTGGTGATATTTCACCACGTTCAGGAAGGAAACAGAGATATTGTTTGTGTTTATTAAGTAATCTTTCAAAATAGCCGTAAGTTATATCTTTAAAAGGTTCTTTTTGCTACCCCAATTTTGATGATTTTTAGAAATTTTTATGCGAACAGATATTCCGTAAATTATTTGCAGCGATCAAGGTACTAAATTTACCTCACAGTTGACTGAAGAGTTTCGAAAAAAAAAAAAGTCAGAAACTTATCCTCGGTTTTTAACACCAGGTTACTCTGCATCAAACGACTCACCAGGCAAATTGAATCGTGTATTTAAACGAATGCAAATCCTGTCAACTCTCACAAATCTTGTTAATTGGGGCAAGCATACTCTATCTACTTTTTGCTTGCTGCGATGTTCCAATACAGGTCTATCTCCATTTAAGCTTATGCACTGTCGTGAAGCTAGAGGTCCCTTAGCTATATCATCATGATCCGGTGAAATACCTTAACATCTTAATTTATGTAATTCAGCAGCTACAAAATTCATCGAAAAAATGAATTTAAAGAAAGCAGCTGATCTTGCATCTTTATCTGCTTCTTAAAAACGCGAAGCTTACGCATATAATATCAACCACCAGGAAGGGCATGAAAGAATTTAAAAATGGTCGTCTAGGTATACTTTTGCCAGACTCTTGCATTTAAAGAGAGCTAATTTTCACATGCGGTGCATGTTTATGCATATTTTTAGACGTACAAATAAAAGAACTATTGATGCTCAGATTATTTATTCTGTACTTATTTATTTATTTGTTTTGTATTTAATTTTTTAAATCCTTTTTCCACTCGGGCTCCAAGCAACGGTTTCCTGGAGCTTTTATTTATAGTTCTTTATGGAATTACTGCTCGATTCTTAAAGATAAGACAGAGCCGTTGGTTTACATTGTTTTGGGTTGCAACTTTGGACAGTCATATTAAGTCTCCAGCAGCTTCGCTGCCAGCCTTCGTCTGGCTTTTAAATGTACCGGAAAACTGGCTGAAGGGAACACAAACGTTAAATTTAAAAACTGCATAGAATTTTACTCTGTAGAACAACTTCATAAAAAAAAGTTATTACGTATAACAAAATTACAATGAAATAAGCAATATCCCTTAATACAAATATTAATTATCCTAATAAATAAATTAACCAACTTCCCTTTGCAAAATCTTAAGAACTCAAATGGTATAAAGGAGGTTAAGAACTTTGTTTCTTAAAAAATCGCTCAAAACTTTTCAATATCTTAAAAACAGTGAAATGAGCAATAAATAACATAAAAGAGTATAAAAAAGAGAAAATTCTGAAATTAATGATATTCTAATTAATGATATTTTATCTTATATTTTCAAGAGAAAAAAATTACAATGAAGTAAGCTAGTATATCCCTTAATACAAATATTAATTATCCTAATAAAAAAATTAACCAACTTTCCGTCGAAGAAAAAAACTCATGCAAAACATTTCAGTGTCTTACAAACAGTGAAATAAGCAAAAAAATAACATGAAAGCAACTCAAAAAACATAAAATTCCGCGCAGTATTTTACTCTACAGAACAACTTTATAAAAAAAAAATCAATAAAACGTGTTATATATATATGTAGAATCGGTACTTACTGTCTAGGAAAATGATGTTTGTAAACTTACTTCTTAGGTGGCTGTCTAGGGGCTAATAAACTAGTCCGATTTACAAATAACTTGAATATTTAATGAAACATGAAATAGTTGCAACAAACTACAAAGTAATTACATACGTAGAAGGAAATAGGTGAGATTATTTACAGATGAAGAGAAGGAATCATCTTTACATTCAAACATCTTTTAATCGCGTCATCGTCTTAATGGCGGAATCGTCTGCCTTCTATCATCGGAAAAGTAAAAGATTTATTTTTCACAGCTTGTCGCGTCATCTGATTATAATGAACGATGCCATCCCACAAATGCTCGTCCATCCTGATGGAATGCGGCCTCGCATTCTCGTAGCACCACCATCTACATCTAGGGATCTGAAAAATAAAAATTAAAAAAAAAAAAAAAAAAAAAAAAAAAAACAGAAAAAGAGATTTTTAGTTACTATTGAGGGAAAAGACGTCTTAAATGGTTTATTTCAGCCATCTTCCCTTATCATCTTAACATCTTCAGAAATAACGGCTTTATCTCTTCTTCAATGCTCTTTCAGTGTTCGTTCATCTTTAACAGTATATCTGAATACATACATTTCACAAACACGTCTAGATTTGTCTTCGTATTTACGTCTTTTTAAACATCGTCTGAATACGTCTTCTGAATGCGTCTTTTAGATACCGTCTGGATACGTCTTCTGAATGCGTTTTCTTAGATACCGTCTGGATACGTCTTCTGAATGCGTCTTAGATATCTTCAAGATCCGTCATTCGAATGCGTCTTCTCAAAATCATCTTCTTTAAGCCGTTTTCCTTCATACATTTCATCCTTAGACATCATCTTCAGTCTTCTTTAATTAGTTCACGTCTTTAAAATAATAGTCCATTAGTCAAATCGGGAGAAATTCGTCTAGTCGAGAAAAAGTCTAAATCCGGAATCATCAAAATCGGTATTTCATTATCAAAGATTTTAAATTTTCTTCCCGGATCTTCTGAATCTGCTTTTTCGCTTCTTTTTTCTCACCTTCTTCAGTTCCTTTTGTTCCGACTTTCCTTTCTGTATCAACGTCGTTGTCATCAGGTTTTCTAGCTGCGACATCTCCTTTTCAATCTTCTCCTCTTCTTCGGTGGTATCTGTAGTTTCTTCGTGTCCAGTAACATCTTTTGCTTCTCTATTGTAAGGTATTTCACTGAAATTGTTCCAGTGGAATTCGCATTTGATTCATCATCCTTTAGCAACTGATTCTTCTTCGGGAAAATGCTTCTCTTCAGAATCTCCTTCTGCAGTGGCGTTTTTCCTCATTGCTTCAGAGCTAATTGCATTGTGCTTGAGTTTCCTTTTTGCACTAATTCAAATTCATCTTTAATAGCATCACTTTTACTTATATCAGAATCTGCATCACTCGGGACGTCGTCAGAATTCACAATCAGGGAATCAATGCCACTTGCTTTGATTGTAGATGAAGTGTCCAGTTTGATCACATTCTGTACTGTAACAGGAACTATACTAACAAGATCAGTTTCTGGTTTTGGAAGTAAAACACCATAAGTAACAACTTTTCCATATCCTTCTTCAGAACCATTTCCATTGCAATGAGCATTTTTATGCTCTTCAGAATAATTCTCAGATTTCTTGTTTTCTGCGATAACGCAAATATTTGATTTAAATAAAGAACCATCGATTTGGAATTCACCTTCAAATCTCTCTATAGGTTTGTTGCCAAATTCCGTAACTGTAGCTCTGCCGACTTCAGTTCAGGAGAACCTATCTTCTTATGTATATCTTCTCGGATTAATGTTACCTGACTACCAGTATCTATTAAAGCATCAAACTGCGAATTACCCAAATTAATAGTTTTATGCATATCTTTCTGACAAGTCTGAGTTATTGGTGTAACAGCTTTGGCATCTTGGATATTTTTAGATGATGGTTTCAAACAATCTACGGCTTTGTGTCCAAACAAATCGCATTTAAAA